TGAAGTCCACAAGTCTTAAAGTTGCCAAGGTTGGACACCCCTGCCCTAGACCATTCTGGACAAATGGCTGCTAACCTTATCTTAAAAATCTCCAGTGATTCCTAATTTTAGCAGGCAGAAATGAGAGAACAATCTTCAGAGGTTTAGAGAGAGAGAGAGTTTGAAAAATAACAGAATGAAATCCAGGAAATCGAAAGCAAAATTCTTTGCTGAAAAGCCAACCTGGGAGAGACAGGTGTTCTCAGGTGTGGAACATGCCCCTGGCTTGACCTCACACACCTCTGTTGAGTCAGCTCGGTGGTTTGGCTCCACGAAAACCCAATGTAACTTTAGGTCGCTGCAGCAGAGGCACCATTTCCAAGTGACGGGGGAATAATCATTTCACTTTATTCTGCTCTAATCAGGTCCCATTGTGAATATTGCAGTTCTGGGCACTGCATTAAGGAGGCTTCAAAGACACGGAGCAGGGATAGAGAAGGCAGTGAAGTCCTTTGAAAAGAAATGAGTATATCCAGGCTGGAAAAGGAAACTCTGGGAGGTAGAATGATGCACTGCTGAAAATACCTGAAAGAAAAATACCTTCATGGTATCTCTTGATCCTGCATGCAGAACACGGAATGAGGGGCTCACAGGCAGACGAATGTTGGAAGAGGCTCCCAAAGGTGCTTTTTTTTTTTCAGGAGGCAACTGGACTTTATTTTTTCGTTGAAGACGTTTCGCTTCTCACCCAAGAATCTTCTTCAGCTCTGACTGGAGGGTGGGGAATGGGAGGAGTTATACTCCTTGCAGACAGCTGGTCATTTGCGTCCTTTGAGAGGGCTGTTGAGGGCCACTTGGGAGTCAGGCAAGGAATAACGGATGAAAACTAAACAAGGAGAGATTCAACCTGGAAATAAAAGAGGAATTTTCTGACAGGGAAAGCAATCCAGTTGCCTTCAGAAGTTTTGGGAGCTTCATCAGTGGAGGCTTTCAAGAAGAGCTGGCTGGGGCATTCTGGGAGTTGAAGTCCTCCAGGCTTAAAGTTGCCAAGGTTGAATACCCCTGATGTAGGGTCTCCTGCTTGGGTGGGGGGTTGGACTAGATGACCTACAAGCTCCCTTCCAACTCTGATTATCTGTTATCATCTTCCAGTGGCCTCTGGACCAGAGATTTGTGGAAGAGACAGAAGAGGGGCATCTGTGGAAGAAAACCAAGCCAGCAGGAGAGCGGCTTGAATGCTTCTGCCTTGCCCTGTTGAGAGAACACACTGTCTGCTTCTCAGTTAACATCTGTCCCCTAGGGAGGCCTCCTGCTTTGCATGCAAATGGCATTTAAAGTGGTTTAATCAAGCCATTAATCAGCCCAAAGGCAAGCATTAAACCCTTGCGGGTTTCTAAATTGTGTGGCATAAGGACTGGGTTCACACACCACACCACAACCCCATACGGAAGAACTGGGGCACTTTGTGATTCACTTCATTTGGTGGAAACAAGATCCCCAGAAGGGGTCTCCTGCTTGAGCAGGGGGGGTTGGACTAGATGACCTCCGAGGTCCCTTCCAACGCTGCTTATTCGTTTTTTTATATAATGTTAATTATAAATTTTTCTTTAACATACATGAGTGCTCAATAGCGTATTGTCTGAGTCAATTTACATATCCATAACGATAGTAATAATAATATTCTTCACTTGGATATAATGGGTATTCTTCCAACTTCTAATTTCGACCTTTTTTAATCTAGCCATGGGTAAAACAATCCCAGGTTAAAAATATTCTGTATCTTCTTTGTCCGGGGCTAAGACGCTGAGCTTGTCGATCAGAAAGGTCGGCAGTTCGGCGGTTCAAATCCCTAGCGCCGCGTCACGGAGGGAGCTCCCGTTCCTTGCCCCAGCTTCTGCCAGCCTAGCAGTTCAAAAACATGTAAAAAATGCAAGTAGGAAAATAGGGACCCCTTTGGTGGGAAGGGAACAGCGTTTTGTGCGCCTTCTTTGGCGTTTAGTCATGCCAGCCACATGACCAGGGAGACGTCTTCGGACAGTGGTGGCTCTTCAGCTTTGTAACGGAGAGCCAGAAACAACTACCACGCATGTGGGAGGGGGAACCGTTACCTTTAATTATCCATTTCCGCACAATCTAATATTTTTAAATTATATTTTCATCTGTAGGAGTTTCCTTGCTTTTCCAATGTGGTGCAAATACTGCTATCAAAACATGTAATATTAAGTATACATTGTCCACCACATATGGTAGTATGAACCCAGTAGCTGATTGCATTTCCAGCATTCCAACTAGTTTAGTTTAGTTTTAGTTTAGTTTACTTTATTGTCATTGCATATTGTACAACGAAATTAAATACCATCTTCAGTGTACTATACAGTAGAATTCAATAGAGTTACTGCTCTGGGATAGAAGCTGTTTTTCAGCCTGTTTGTCCTTGTTTTTATTATTGTCCTGTACCGTCTGCCAGATGGCAATAGTTCAAAAAAAGGGTTCCCAGGATGAGATGGATCTTTGATGATGTTTTGAACTTTCTTAAGGCAGCGGGAGCTCTAAAGCTCTTCCAAAGAGGGGAGAGGGCGACCCATGATCGCAATGGCGTTAACCCTCTGGAGTGCTTTCCTATCGGCCCCTGTGCAAATGGCAAACCACACAGAGGTGCAGTAAGTTAAGATACTCTCTATGGTGCAGCGGTAGAAGGTCACCAGCAGTTTCTCATTCAGTTGTTGTTTTCTGCTTATTGTGTGTTATTCTATGAATGAATCCAGCCAGAGCGTTCCATCACAACCAAGTGGTGGGTTTCCAAATTGTTTCCCACCGGTTCTATGCATGCTTCTATGCACACATGCTTGGAGGGCTCAAAGACCGACCACTGTCAATGCTGTTGTCAGGGTTCCAGCGATTGCCCTAATTAAATCATGAACCTCGGTCCAAGCTTCAAAAAAATTCAGGAGATTTATTAGGAGCAACATGCTGACATTAACCTAAATGCAGCATATGTAGTTTACAGTCCCCTGTGACCCTGTTCCCCCCCCCCTGGGTGTGTCATAAATCAGATTCTCCAATGAAGCACGTTCATAGGCTGGGTGTCATCAATCACGTTCTCCAATGAAGGATTTTCGGGGGCAGAAGCATAGCTACAATCTTTGTAAGATAAGCGTGGGGTGTACTTCTGGTTTTAAACTGCCGTAATGCTCCTTCAGATTCCTTCTCCCCCCCCCCCCCCGTTTGTGGCAACTCAAAAACATAGCAGAAAAGCATAGGAATGTTTTACGAGTTGACAGCTGGCAAGCTGAGCTGTTTTTTTAGCTCAGCTGAGGCGCGGGATCCGCTCTGCCTTGAGGATCAGCTGAGTTAAAAAATCAAGGGAATATAGGAGAGGTAATGGCGGGGGCGGGTGGGTGGAGCCAACCAGAGGTGGTCTTTGCTGGTTCTCCGAACTAGTCAACATTTCCGCTACCGGTATGCCAGAACCAGTCTGAACCGGCTGAATATCACCTCTGATCACCACCCAAAGGTGAAGATGCTCCCCGTTAAACTTTTAACGGCACTTCTTAGCTTTCTTACTGGTCTTCCAGGGGACTTAACTTCCGTCTGACTTAACTTCTGAGACTGGCCAAGGTGTGCCAGGTGCCGCCATCCTCCATTGCAGCCAGGGACTTCTGGAATGGCGCCTTGTAGCCATTAGAATGTGCTGACCCCCTTTGCTTTGTTTCTCTCCTATCAGAGCCGCCTTCCTGGCATCAAAGTGAAGTACCTGTTCTTTGCCTGGCTGGGGATTTTTGTGGGCAGCTGGATGGTCTACATGCATTATTCGTCCTACTCCGAGCTCTGCCGGGGACACGTCTGCCAAGCCATCATCGTGAGTGTTTCTCTGGGGAGGGGTTCTTCCGGCCAGCAGAGAAGCAAGGATAGGGCAGCTTCCAGGTGGACCACCACTGTTCTGACCCAGCTACCCAAAGACGACAAACCCTCTGTAGTTGAAGCAATTATTCTTTTATTAGGAGCGCTGGCAGCCCCAGGAAAAAAGTTTCTCTCTCACTGCACGCTAAAAAATCCATGCGGCAGGGAGATGAATAATTGTCTGCCACACCTGTTCGTCTCCACCCCCTGCCTTTTATCACCAGAACTAGACTGAGGCTTTGCTAGCAGCAGTGGCTCTTCCATCCCAAGGACCGGCCCATAGATTTCCACTGCTCTCCTCTCCTCTGTCTTCTGCATATCCGTGCATCAGGCACTGGACCCAACTGTTCCTCCTCTTCCTCATCAGCCACCTCCAGACCTGGGGGCTGTTGACTCTCCATCGGAGGGCTGCCGGATGGCCCAGGCTCCTTCTCTGTCTCTCTCTCTGGTCTGGAGGAAAACTCTCCCAGGAACCTGCAACAGCCTTTGGTTGCAGCTGTTCCAATCCAAAATGGGTGTAAACAGAAAACTTTAAACTATAAATCCAACAAAGCAAGATAAGGTAATAAATCCGGCAGGGCAAAATAAGGAGTTCCAGAAGTGAAGTAACACGGCAGTAAATCCAACCAGTTGGGAGGATGCCAGGAACTAAGACAACAGCAGCCAACATTAGATAAACTCAACACTTGTTCCCGACAAATGCCCCTCCCAACTGGTTCTCCTTTAAACTCCTTTCCCAGGTGGCCTTGTGAAGGGAATCAGGGCCCTTTCCTCCCCCATAAGCCATGCAACCCTCGTTGCTCCCTTCTCCATTCCTCCCTGCGTGCCCTAGGATGAAGATGGGGTGGGCCTGGGTCTTCCTCTAAATTCCCTCTCCCTTGTTCTACGTCTTCCCTGCTCTGCCCAGCCTGATTTTTGCCCTTCCCTAGTTTCCTCCAGAGCCAACGGAGCCACACTCCCACTCCCTGACAGCTGTTCATCCTTCCTCCTCGAATTCAAGGGAGAGGCGGGGGGCATGACAATTATATAAACAGGGAGCAGATCCCACTCCCTCCTAGCACTGATGATGTTATCTAGTTGGGTCATGAAATGTCTGCAAGAAAACAACCAAGCTCAGAGAGCAGTTCAACCCTGAGCTACAGCCACTCTCTTCTGTTTGTGGCACATGTCTCTTGGCCAACCTCTGGGTTGTACTTGCTTCACAGCTTCGGCTCAGACTGCTATTCCTGTTGTTGGAGGCTCTTCCATTCATCTGAAGAACTTTAAATTGTGTTGGAAGGGGGGCTACTAGGCTCCTCCTGCTACGTAGCCCTGTCTATTTACAGGGGCAACCCCATGTCAACCTATCAAGAAAGGCTCAGGGTTTCCCCCCCTCTCTCTCTTTCAGTGTGATCAATACAACAAAGGCATCATTTCGGGGTCAATGTGCAAAGATCTTTGTGAGGACCACACCTTGGTATTTGAACACTGCTTGTCACCTTCTCCCACCCAGCAGGTAGGTCCTGGGGAATTACCCTGAGGGCAAGTTGTCCTTGTTTAGGACAGGAGGCTGGGCCATCTCTGGGAAGACCTGAGAAACTCATTTTTTTTCCAGAAAAATAACTTCAGAGAATGGAAAGAAAATATAGTCTGGTTGACACGGAACTCTACTCCAAGATAATATCATCTTTGATTTGTAAGAGAACTCCAGTTCTCTGGGTTTGGGGCAGGTCTGTGTAGTGTGGGAGCTTTCCTCATCTCTTCTCCACAAGGTTACACCTGAAATCTTGCCCTTACAAAGGCTGCCATGACACGACAGCTGTCTTGCGATATTTGAGGGGGTGCCACAAATAAGGCAACGCCAACCTCCAAAGCAGGGAAGGCAAGACAAGAAGCAACAGATGGAAACTAATCAAGGAGAAATTTCCTGACAGTGAGAACAATTAACCAGTGGAATAGCCTGCCTCCAGAAGTTGCGGGTGCTCCATCAGTGGAGGCGTTTGAGAAGAGATTGGACAGCCATTTGTACAGAATGGTATAGGGTCTCTTGCTTGAGTAAGGGGATGGACTAGCAGACCTCCATTGTCCCTTCCAACTCTGTGATTGTACCATTCTATTCACTAAAAAGTTAATATTCAGGGCCTACAGCTGATGCCTAGGGATATGGTGGACATGTCACTGATCCCTGGCTTAAATTAGACATGAAGTGGAACAGGATGAGATTCAGGACAGGCAGAAGTAAGGTGGATTTGAGAGGTTTCCAAGTGGGAGGAAATCATTACAGAGAGTCCTTGACTTTTTGCCTTCTCAGGGAAATCTCGGATCTGAAAATGAAGTGTTTTTTTTCTTTCTTTCCAGAGCCAGGGGAACATGAATATGTGTTTGTTTTTCAAATCTGAGCTCTGGGTCCAAACTCAAGTTTTCTGGCTGAATTGAGTTCTACCACCAATTCTGAGACATGCCTCGGGCTAAACTCCTCAGGGAAATCTCAGGTCTGAAAATAAAGTGGTTTTTCTGCTTTCCAGAGCCAGGAAAACACTGAAAAAGGGGACCTATGACACAGATTCAAAGTCATTCAAAGCATCCCTCTCCCCACGGTCAGGTGATTGCATTTGGGGCATTCGGCAACATTTATACAGGGAAGCAGTCCCGTGACTGTGATTCACAGTTTTTTTTTTCTAGAAACCAGTATGTACTTTCTGTTTTTGCAAAAACAATGCCCCATAGCGTACAATGAGTTCCATTAACAACTGCTGTATTTTCTTTACAACTGGTGTGTTCATTTTAACAACGGCCACAAAAAAAAAAAGGTCAGGCATGGTCACATGTCGACTCTTTTTGCAACTGTCAGGACTTACCAGCCAGAATTCTGGGCTCAAATCATGGTCGTAAATCAAGACAATGAACATTGTAAGTCTCCAGCTGCTGAGGTTAAGGTAGCGAACACAGTCCCCAGCAGCATTTTTGTTGTATCTTGCAGGTCTATAGCGGCCTCTGGAAGGAGAAAGAGGTGGTTATCAAATGTGGCCTGGAAGAAGCCCTGAAGGCCGACAGCAACCCGGATGCAGATCCCAGGAGAGACGTGGTTCTCTTCAACAAGCCAACTCGAGGGACGTCCATGGATGAATTCCGGGAGATGCTCCTGAATTTCTTGAAAGTGAGTGCCTCTCCATTTCAAGGAGGAGGCCTTGGAGCTACCTCTCAAGGGGCCGATTCACACATGCAAAGATCTATTCTAAACGTACCTTCCTGCTTTACCAGGTTGTAATGTGAGGTCCTTACAAGATGTCTTAAATTGTTCTTTGTTTTCACAGTCTGGTCTTGGAGATCAAGCCTCCCTCACCAACTTGGTGAACCAGATTATCGCCATGGCCGACGTCAGTCGGGACGGGAAGCTTTCTCTGGCCGAAGCGAAATCCATCTGGGCCCTTCTGCAGCTGAACGACTTCCTCCTGACCTTCTCCCTGCACGAGAAGGAGCACACCCCCAGGCTCTTGGGGCACTGCGGCGATCTGTATCTCACAGAGAAGATCCACCACACCTCCCTCTACACCATGGGCTTTCCTCCTTTCCTGCAGCCGCTGCTGCCTTCTGCCGTACTCAGAGTCGTCCACCAGTGGTTCTTGCCCACCTGGCCCCGGCGAGCCAAAATCGCCATCGGACTTCTGGAATTCGTGGAGGAGATCTTCCACGGGACCTACGGCAACTTCTACATCTGCGAGGCCGGCTTCACCAACATGGGCTACAATAAGAGATACGACTTCAAAATGGTGGACCTCAGGACAGTGGCCGCCGAGATGACCATCCAGAGGTTCCTTAAGGGCCGTCACTGTGAGCAAAACACGGACTGCACCTACGGGAAGGACTGCGTGGCGCCGTGCGACAAGCTCATGAAGCAGTGCAAGAGCGACGTGGTCCAACCCAACCTCGCCAAGGTGTGTGGGCTTCTGCTGGAGTACCTGCTCCACGGGGCCCCGAGTGACTTGAAGGAGGAACTGCAGAAGCAGCTGAAAACGTGCACCACGCTCAGCGGGCTGGCCAGTCAAATGGAGGTGCACCACTCGCTGGTGCTCAACAGCCTGAAGACCCTCTTGTGGAAGAAAATTTCCAACACCCAATATTCCTAGAGGGGCTCCGGGAAGCCTAAGGACAAGGCCAGGGTGGGGAGCGGCTCCCCTCTTCCCAACTCGGTCTAAGGCCTTCGAGCGAGGGGGAGCCACGTAGCCTCCACAGACAGACTTTGGGATGGGGAGGGATGAGAAAGAAAAGCAGTTTTTGTGGAACAGACGGGGATCTCCAGGTGAGCGTAGCCAAGGTGAAGAGAGGTCAGTTGTCTGTCTGATGTAAATAAATGGTGTCTCTCTCTCTCTCATGGATTTTGCTTCAAGGACACAATGGCTGATTCTCAACTGGGGAAGCCAGTTCAAAACAAAAGGGTTGGATGTCCTTTGTGGGATCCATGCTGCCAACTCCTCAGGCTGGCTTCAAACAGCTCATTTTGTAACACGTGGGTTTCAGTTCCTTTAGTTAACTGAAATGCAACGCATTGTATCAGCCCCCAGAATAAGGCTGAATCCAACAATCAGGCTACGTGTATTGTGTGATGAAGCCAAAGGCAGAGTTTTGTCTGACTGAGCATCATTTCTTGCCGTGAACTGAAAAATTAAAGATTCCTTAGCTTCAGGAGACAGGCTCACTTTCAGCTCATTAGCAGTCTATTTACCAGGCCCTAAATAGAACAACCCGGTGTATGGTATCCATTGTTGACAAGAGACCACTTTCAGAGCTTATAGATTAACTAGATCATCTAGTCCAACCTCCTGCCCAAGTAGGAGACCCTACACCATTTCTGACCAACGACAGTCCAGTCTCTTCTTGAAAGCTTCCAGGGATGAAGCTCCCACAACCTTTGAAGGCAACTTCTGTTCCATGGGTTGATTGCTCTTCAGTGTTCAGTTTCCTTATTTCCAGGTTGAATCTCTCCTTGTTCAATTTCCATCCATTATTCCTTGTCTGACCATCAGGTGCTTTGGAAAACAGCTTGACCCCTTCCTCCTCCTCTCTGTGGCAGCCCCTCAAATATTGGAAGATGCTCTCCTGTCTCCTCTGGTCCTTCTCTTCCCTAGACTAGCCAGGCCCAGTTCCTGCAACCGTTCTTCATATGTTTCAGCCTCCAGTCCCCTCATCATCCTGGTTGCTCTTCTCTGCATTTTTTGTAGTCTCAACCTCTTTTTTAGTGTGATGACCAAAACTGGGTGCAGGACTCTAGGTGTGGCCTTACTAAGGCTTTATAGAGTGGTATTATTACCTGCCTTGGTCTTGATTGTATCCGTTAATCAATTTAGGATTGCATTGGCTTTTTTGCCTGCCACTGGTTAGCTTGCTCAAAAGGAAGAATCTGCACTCAAAACACAAAAAGGCTGGGTTTGCCTCCAGGCTGACTGCAGACCCAGGCTTTTCAACCTCAGCTGGTCTTCACATCTTATTTTAAAAAGATAACCGCTCTGATTATCTTTCCTGGAAGGAGAGCCGAGCCTGCTAGCTATAGAGGTATAATCCTTGTTACGAGCAGTGCCTGATTTTATAGCTTTTTTTTTTTTTTGCCACCCCATTAAGCAGCCTGACCCTGGGATGTTGTAACCATCATAAACCAAGCCGGTTGACAAGTGCCTGAATTGTGATCATGTGATGGGGTGCAGTACAAGGACAGTTGGGGTTACCGAGGCAGGGCGTGTGGGGCACTTCTATACCTTTCTCCCAACTGTGTTCTTTAAGTTCAGGGCTTGCATTTAAACCTTGTGGTTACTCAGCTCAGGAGAGGAAATAATGCAGCCCAAAGGAGATGTAGAACTGTGGCTCCTATGGAACGACTGGCTAACAATCCTTGTTAACAGACAAGCCGTGTCAAACTTTCCAAGAGTACAGCAGAGGATCAAGATTTGGGGTATCCTGACCCTCGGTTGTCTCCAGCAGTGGGATTCAAAAAATTTTTACTACCCGTTTGGTGGGTATGGCCCGGTGGGCGTGATATGGCAGGGGAAGGATACTGCAAAATCCCCCTTCCCTCCCCACCCCACTAACCTGCTTTCCAGCTCCGTTCTCCTGTGCAGGGCAACAAAAGGAGACCTAGCCTGAGACTCAGGAGGCAGAGAATAGATGGGGTCAGTGGGGCCAGTCAGAGGTGGGATTTGCTGGTTCTCCGAACTACTCGAAATTTCTGCTTCCGGTTCTCCAGAACTGGTCAGGACCAGCTGAATCCCACCGCCTCCTTGTCCCCTTGGTATCCCTCCCAATCCTTCGATGAGGATTCTAGGGCTCTCCTCCATCCCTGAAGGATTGAGCTGAAACTCCTCCTGACTGCACATGGAATGGTGCCAGCTGTTCAAATAAGGTGTTCAGACCTGCTCAGCTCACTTCCCCCCCAACACACAAGGGTGCACATTATGCAGGCTGTTGTGGGCAAAATAGGAAAAGAGGAAGGAGCGCAGGACAGGTCGTCCTCAATTTACAATGGTTCCTTTAGTGACCAAAGTTACAGCTGCACTGAAAAGTGGCTTGTGACCCTTTTTCCACACTTAATGACAGCACTCCCATGGTCATGTGGCCAAAATTCAGGCGCTTGGCCATTGGTTTACATTGATAACGGTCGCAGTGTCCCAGGTTTCTTTTGCCACCTTTTGACAAGTAAAAGCCAGCAGGAAAGCTCGATTCACTTAACGGTAGCAAAGAAGTTCATAAAATGGGGGCGAAACCCACTTGTTTCACTTAGCAACATAAACTTTATTAGCCTCAGCTGTGGTCGTACATTTTGAGGACTGCCTGTAGTATGTATGTTCCCTGGCTTGAATTAGTTATAAATTAATAAAGGCGGGATAAAAACCTGATAAACAAACCAACTATTGGGGGATGAGCTGGTCAAGACTCTTGGAAAATTCCTCGCTTACAGCCAAAAGGCATTTTAGGGGTGAAGGAGGGACAAGCTGTTGTTGGGAGGTGGCTGCTCCCCCCCTTTTCAGGGACTGAGGTGTCCAGGCCCTGGCAGCCTGTGCTGGGCACAGAAAAACCCAGCATCCATATTTCCATCCTGGGGATCAGGGGGCAGTCAGCACCGTGTGAGCCAGCCACATTCATGGAAGCCACTGCAAACCCCACCCCTCCTCTTAAAGCCCTGCCCCTACCTAGAAAGCAGCCCAGGTAGGAGAAGCACTGGGCAGAATCAAAACTTGCAGGAGTCATTGTAAACAAAGAGGCCATTCTGATTTGAGAAAAACATTTATTGGCAACTTCTTCATAATCCTATTTCCGTTCTGTTTTGCATTGGCCAGCTTTCACTAGAACACTGGATTTAATTCCAGAATTTATATTTGAGGAAGGACAATAAACCCAAGCCGAGTGAGTAAGGGACGGATCTGCCACCGTTTCCCTTTCAGGCTGCTTTTAGAGCTGCACCTGGAGGATTTCAATATTTGCAATACACCTGGAGGCGCCTCTATCTTCAGACAACTAGGCTGCTCCCTATAGGTAATCCCTGGCGTTCCCTTAGCGAAGGTTAGAAGCTACGTGGTCAGTACCCCCATCCCATTGGAGGCCCCACATCTCTTCCCCACTGAGATCCCTCATGTGCATTTAATGACCTGCACATATCAATTAACAAATGCGTTGGGGAAAGCAGGGAGTGATCACTGTCAGCTGGTGCTCCATTCAAAATCCAAGAAAGAAATACTTAAGACTCTTATAATTAGAGAAAAGATATCTTTTACTGGAAGTTAAGTGGTAGCAACAAGAAAATTCTGAATCTGGGGAAATAGGCACGTACATCACATATATCAAGGGAGTGAAATGTTCCCACCCCCAATAGTTTTTTTTTTTTAAAACAAGTTTTATTTTCAAGACAAACAATACATAGATACACATAAAACAAAACATAAAAAATCTCTTATCTGAAAGTTGCTTAGTCCTGGGTTAAAACTCTTGGTACAGACACAAATTCAAATTCATATTCATTTTACATACCATTTCATATCTTATTAACATTTTCAGTTTTCTATATGTCTTCTCCTCTCCTTTAAATTTTCTCAATTTTATTTTATTTTATTTATCTCCTCTCAATTCATATCATAATATTTATTATTCTTTGTCTGTTCTATTCCAGCCAGCCCTTTATTTTCCTTCTTTAAAAAAAAGAAAAAACTTCTCCTGCACACTATATGGAGTATGATGCCTTTATCTCTTTCCCCTACATTTATAATACTTAATATAAAACACATAACATATATTGGGATTCTGTCTGGTACATTCTAAAATTATACTATATTATCAAAAATAATACAAATCTATTCATTAGTATTAATATTCATATCTTAAACATTTAAATCATTACTTTTCAATTAAATCACATACTTTTATGGGAATCTGGGGAAATAGGCACGTACATCACATATATCAAGGGAGTGAAATGTTCCCACCCCCAATAGTTGAAACGGTTCTTCTAATTAAAAGTTGTGAACTCCATCATGTGGACATCTCCAGGTGGTGATGATTAATTGACCTTGGCTTACTCAGATAAAGGTTTGCAATTGCGCAGAGAAGAGAAAGCTAAGCAGGAATGAGAAACCCTCCCCAGTTTATACAATATCAGTTAGTAACACTTTCAGCTCACGTCCCATACATCTCCCCCTTCCACACACCCCCTTACTCATGGCAGCCAGAAAGAAGCAAAGGAAAGGAAGATCTTGAAGGCTGACAATCACATTCATTTAACGTGATTCAAACAAATGAATGTTTGTGTTACCAATGTAATTGGCAGGCTCTATCACATTCTTAACTCGAGGATTACCTGAATACCCTCCACTAAGCTCAGCTGACAAAGGAGCTTAAAGAACACAAACCAAGCCAGCGCTCTTCAAGGAGGCTCAGAACCTGGCTCACTCAAAATCACATTTCCCAAGCGACAATTCTTCAAAAGTGCATATGGAGGCTGAAGAACCCAGGTGACCCAAAGAGATGCTGAATTGGAGCCTCGCTGAAGTGAAACTGAAGAGGAAGGTCCCTGAAGGAAGAATGGAGCCAGACACCTTGGAAACTTCTGAGAACTAAATCTCATCTCATTCCCGCCACTTGCACCCATGATGCTGCTGGACAGAAGGAACATCAAATAAATTTCATAATAATTTATAATAAAAGTGTTGCATTTCAATAAAATCAACCCTGTCCCAAAGGAATGCTGACCTCCATCTGCTTGGTTGGGAGTTGGACATCATGGCCTCTCAGCTCCTTTGTAAAGTTCAGGACAAAGCATCTTTACTTTGGCCAATGCCTAGAAAAGTAGTCATGTTACATAATGTACATGGCTTGAACAGAATTGTATATGTCTTAAGTCATCAATGAAGCAAGGTAAAATAAAGGAGCAATGAGATACAAGAATAAATTAAAACATTAAATGCTTCAGCTAAGTGTACAGTGTTGACTTTTCATCAAATATTTCTTCCTTCCAGACTTAATAAAATGGAAGAATTTTTGTGGCAGACTTAAGACCAATCATTGCAACCATAAAACTACTCTGCAAAGATGTAAAATAAAAACCTGTTTGGAGGCTTTTCTTCAGAGAAGTACATAGAAATAGAGGCAGCAAATTTATAATAGAGGCATATATAAACACGAACATAGGCAGCAAATGTATAACTTTTAAGACTTGTGAACTTCCAAACTCCCAAAATTCTCCAGGCAGCATGGCTGGCTGATGAGTTCTGGAAGTTGACATCCAGAGTTCTTAAGAAGTTTCCAAGGTTGGACTTTAATACCTGCCTCGCCAGCATGGGTCGGAACAGTCCCAAGTTTTCGACTTGCTGAACTGAGGAAGACCCAAACAGAATAACTATTGGAATTGAATTTCCACATTCAAATTCAATAATTTTCCACTTCATTAACCCCCCTTACTATGCTCAGAAAATGTTTGTGACCAAGAGAGAATATAAACTTCAAATCAACAGATGAAGATATTAAAAAAATAATTTTGGAAGGGGGAAAGTGCTTAATTCAACTTTCCCTGTCTTAAAGAATGCAAAATGCAAATTTTGTCCAGTTGTTAGCATCCAAATTCATTTGAACACTTACAATCTTACCTTTCAGAGCTCATTCTAAACATGTGTTGAAGAGCCAGCATCATGTCCCTATAAACAAAGTGGCTTAGTTAATTTCACTGTGCCAATGATTCAACAAAAACATGCTTTTCCAAAATCCCTAACATCGTGTATGAACAAAAACCTGACACTCTTTAAGGTTGACCTGCATTTTCTAAAGTTAAGAGCAGTAAAGTATTAGAAATGGCAGTGTTCTCGTTCATCTAAGAAAAAGCTGAACTTAGCACCCTCAGATAGTTTACAAACTTAGTCCTTTCCTAGTATCGAATCCAGACTTAAATAATATCAGCCACTAGAACCCCCTCAAAGGATGAAAAGAAAATTGCAGTTTTGTCAGGCTAGTAATCATTCTGAGTGCTCACCCATCAAAGCACTGAGCGTAGACCTAGCCTGCTTCTCTGTGCCACCTACTGACACAAGCACAGCACAGAAGCCATGCCTGCAACGCCTGTAGGGGCAGCCCCAATCCGGGGAATACCTTTGAGAACAGGACACCTGTAGCTGCCTCCCTTACAGTCATTTTGCACATTTGCAGGCAGCTATGACACTGACTCTGCTTTTAAAACCTCTCAGTTTTGCTATGAAGCCCCACCAGCTTCATATCCTGTGAGCTGGTCTTACAAGGCACTGTCAAGGCCAGAGGTCTCCAAACTTGGCAACTTTTAAGACTTGTGGACTTCAATTCCCAGAATTCTCCAGCCAGCTATGCCTCCAGCCAGCTGGAGAATTCTAGGAGTTGAAGTCCACTAGTCTTAAAGTTGCCAAGTTTGGAGACCTCTGGCCAAGGCCCTGCTGCTGTTTCCTCTTTTCTAACTGGTTACTTCTGAAAAGCTGGTTAGCTGAAACAATTGCAGGTGCAAGCCCTGACTGAGAGGCAAGGATCTCCCAGGAAATCAACTCACCTCTGATCAGGTGGAGGCTTCTTATTCTGCAACAGAATGAGAGGAAAAAAAGTGAGTCCAAACCAGCCACTCACACCCACAACTGTTTATAATCCAAGTGGGGCTTCATGGCACAAACACTTGGAGAAGCTTAACTGCACCTGAAGGCCAGACAGGAAACAATGGATGGCAAACTTATCAAGGAGAAATTCAAATTAGAACTAAGGAGACATTTTCTAATGCCTTCCATTTGGAAGAGCTCCTGTAGCCTTAAGAAAGTTCAAAACCTCCTCAAGGATCCATCTCATCCTAGGGACCTTTTTTGAACTATTACCATCTGGCAGACGGTACAGGATAATAAAAACAAGGATAGGCTGAAAAACAGCTTCTATCCCAGGGCAGTAACTCTATTGAATTCTACTGCATTGTGCAATATTAATGCAGTATCAGGGGTTTTCCATTCAATGTATAGAATGTGAAGGAGGTGTGTTAGTTTGTTTTCATAGTCATAATGTACACTGAAGATGGTATTTAATTTTGTTGTACAAAGTGCAATGACAATAAACTAAACTAAGAATGAGAATAACCAACCAGTGGAACAGCTTGGCTTGAGAAGTTGTGGGTGCTCCATCGCGGAGGTCTTGGAAGAAGAGACTGGACAGCCATTTGTTCAGAATGGTATCGGTCTCTCCTGCTTGAACAGGGGGGTTGGGCTAGACGACCTCCAAGGTCCCTTCCAACTCCGTTACTCTGAAGATGTCGCCGCCAATTCTGACAGAAGCAGAAGCAGGAGGGAAATGAGGTGAGCAGGAAGCAAAGGGGCTGCTTCAGAAGTCGTTCCCCCACCTCCCCATTTAAAGTGACAATGAAGCCCCTCTACCTCTACTCCCTTACTCCGAAGGCAATCGAGACCATTTCTAGCTCCCTTTTGGGGGCTGGAGGTAGCGGGCCCCATCTTCCCCGGCCGGCTGGGGACGATGGTAGTTGCAGTTCGCACCCTGCCTACACCATCCCGGCACCGGCACCAGCGCCCTCCGAACGGCGAAGCACGTTAAAAGTAAAGCGAAGAGTTGCAGCAGCAGCAGCCTTACCTGCACTCCCTCCCGAACCCAGCAACAAATGGCCGAGTACACGTGGTCTTCGCCTTATATAGAGGAAGGAAGTGGGCGGAGCCACCAAGGAGCGCCCGCGCACACAGGATCGACGGAAAGCCTCGAGGAACAAAAAAGGCTCCTGTTTCGCCAGCTTTTTTTTTAAAAAAAACTATATTGCTTATTCTGGGGAGTGAAATTCAGAAAGAAACACCTAATTAATGGAGATGTCAGATGTGGACCTTTTGTAGAAATTAGATTTTATTACTGATTTACAATTCAAAAACAACGCAACTTAGAAAAACAAAACCTGCCTAGGATATTTCAAGGATACTCCGGGCTTTCTAACACTTTGAATGTTCTGCCCAATGCTGTCAAAAGTTTGCTCCTGTGGTTAAATTTTTAATTAATGTGCACAACTGCTCCGACGAAAGGGGGGAAAAAAACCTGTGGGTGAGGGCAGGCTTTATTAATGTCATAATTCAAGGACTACCTCCATTATATACTTTTTTTTTGGGGGGGGAATATGGCTCCATCCAAAAAATTAAAGTGAAACTTGCCCTCCAGGGAATTAGCAAAGCAAAAGGGTTGTAATGGGTCTCAATGGTTGCAGGCAGCCACAGGGTCTCCACTCCATCCTCTTTTCAGCTCTATTCCGATTCTTGAAAAGAGCTGGAAGGGGCCTTGGAGGTCTTCTAGTCCAGCCCCCTGGTCAAGCAGAAACTCTATATCGTTGCAGATAAATGACTATCTAGACTTTTCTTAAAATCCTCCAGTGATGGAGCACCCACAATTTCTAAAGGCAAAGCTTTTCCACTGGTTAACTGTCCTCACTATTAGAAAGTTTTGCCTCGATTCCAGGTTGCTTTTTCTCCTTGGTTAGATTCCATCCATTGTTTCTTGTCCTGCCCTCTGGTGTTTTGGAGAATAATTTAATAATAATTTAATCATAACTCCTGAATTGGCATTTTGACCGCCAAGATGCGTCTTCTACCAAGCTGTGACATGTAAACCAATGAACTAGCGAAACCAAAATACTGTCCAATTTATTCCTTCAAGTTGCCAATTCTTGTGCACCTGGTTCAGTTTGATGTCCAGCGACATTTATAATTTAAAAAACAAGCAAGTCAAAAGAGAGAAGACTGAAATGGAAAGGCAACGCCTAGATCAGAAGGCGGGTGGGGGAACCTTTGGGCCTCCTAATGATGAACTACAGGCCCCAGCATCCCCAAGAGTTAATGGGAAGAGAGGCTGTGATCGGCAAACCTCTGCTTTCCCAACCTTGTAGCAGAGACAGGCTAAGAAATGGGAGGTTCAGTGTCATGCCCCTGTCGGAATCTGATTCCGAGGGAGAGGCTGAGCAGCTGACAGGGAGTGGGAGTGTGAGGTAGAACAAGGCAGAGGGAATTCAGAGGAAGACCCAGGCCCACCCCCTCTTCATCCTAGGGCACGCAGGGAGGAACAGAGAAGGGAGCAACGTGAGTTGCGTGGCTTTCAGGGGAGGAAAGGGCCCTGATTCCCTTCATTAGTTGCCGCTGGGAACACAGTGTTTGAGAAGGGAGGTTGCGCACAGCAACTTGTTGGAAGCAAATCGTCAGTTATCTGTTATTGTCAAGGCTTATCTGAGTTCCTGGTGTTTTCCCAACTTTATGTGTTTTGCTGGCCTTTCAAGTCTGCAATTCCTTATCCTACCCTGTCAAGTTAATTACTGCAGCATGGTTTGTGTAGATTTTTATTTACAGTTTATATGTACTTTGTTTTCAGACTGAATTTCCTCCACTTAAAGACTTGGGAGAGTTTTTTTCTCCAGCCGAAAGTAACCTGGACATTGGGGACAAAGTTGGAGGTATTAAAGGGATTATTCTTACTTATGTGACTGTGTTGTCTTTGTGCCATGCCCCGGGTTATCACATTCAGTCCAGCAAGTATGTAGAGACGACAAGCCCCAGTGTGTTCCCAATACTAGCTTGAGGAGTTGGAATGCCCATTCTCCTCCTCCACCCTAGGAATTGGCATCGGAGGGGCCCCTGTGGGCCTGGCAGACTTCTTCTGCAGCCGGAATAACGCCTCCAGGTGTCTCCTCTTCTCCTTGGCCCTCAGGATGGTGGTCTTGAAGAGCGAGAGGTAGAGGTGGATGGCCGAGGGGCTGTCGTCATTCCCCGGGATGGGGTAGGTGATGAGGGAGGGGTTGCTATTGGTGTCCACCACAGCCACGGTGGGGATGCTCATCTTGGCCGCGTCCCGGATGGCTAGGTGAGGCTCAAAGACGTTGTTGAAAGTGGTGAGGAAGATCAGGAGGTCCGGCAGGCGGACGCCGGCGCTGTACTGGATGGGGGCGTTGGTCAGCAAGCCGCCCTGCCAGTAGCGGGTGTGGGCGTACTCCCCGCACTCCTTGGCCACGGTCTCCACCCGGTGGGACGTCTGGCGATGGCGGCTGACAAAGAGGATGATGCCTTTGCGGAAGGCAACGTGGGCCGTGAAATTGAGGGCCAGCTGGAGGTGCTGCGCCGTCTGCTCCAGGTTGATGATATCATGCTCCAGGCGGGAGCCGAAGAGATACGGCACCATGTATCTGCAGAGGGAACAAACAGCCGGTCTGAAGCCATCCCCAAGCCACATAAAGCAACAGAAATAGCACTTAGACTTATATACCGCTTCACAGTGCTTTTACAGTCCTCTCTAAGCGGTTTACAGAGTTGCCTCTTGTCCCCAGCAATCTGGGTCCTCCTTTTACCTACCTCGGAAGGATGGAGTCAACCCTGAACCAGTCGGAACCAGTAGAATCCCACCCCTGATTAGAAGTAGTATAGCTATATAAACAGTAGCATATTCCCCAGGAATGTGCAAATCTCACCCTTGAACAAGATCGTATTGCGCTGTATAATCTTCTATGTAGAGATTCCCAGTTAACCAAATAGGGCTTCACTGAATTAACACTATTCACTCTCTTCACACAGCTATGACTGAAACTGATAACATCTCAGCCCCCAAAATATCCAAGTACAATTTATCTTAGTGAGTGGGGTGGGAAGGAAGTCAAACACACCTACCCATCAAGTTACATGCTGAAAGACCCAAACTGAATCTCAGGAAAACTTGAGAACAATCCTAGTTAGAAAGGCAGGAAAGCTGTGTGAGCAATGCTTAGCTCCAAAGCTCTGACCCAAAGGCTGGATTCAAACAACATGCCAGTCTAGGCCACAGTAGGTGGCAACCATGGTTGTGGGAATGCAGGTACAAAATCTGCATGCCACCTGGGTTTATTTCTTTGGGCCTAACCAAAACATGGCCATTCGGGCTGAGGCTCTGTGTGAGCCTAGCCAGGGATTTTGCTCTGTCGTGGTTTGCAAGCCCCGGGAGAACTGACCTGTGGCGGCTGCTCTTCTTGTGGCCAAGGTGGACTCGAGCGTCGAAGAGCTCCTGGAGAGAAAAGAGCTCCTGCAGATTGAAGAAGTCTGCATGCTTCAATGGCTCCCGCAGAAGCTTCTCCTCGATATCTAGAATAGGAATAGAATAACAGTACCGTATTGTATCATATAACATGAATAGAATAGAATAGGAATAAAATAACAGAAGAGAATAACAGAAGAGAATAGGGAATGGGAATAATAGATATATAATAATAGAATAGAATAAGAATAGTATAGTATAGAATAACAGAAGAGAATAACAGAATAGAACAGAATAGAATAACAGAAGAGAAGAGAAGAGAAGAGAAAAACAGAATAGAATAGAGTAGAATAAAGAATAGGAATAATTTTATTGTCAATATGAATGTCCACTCATCGGCATACATTAAAATGAATTTCGTTGCATACAGCTCTCAAAGGGTCACCACCTACATAAACTACATCAACATGACAAAATAAATACATAAATATGCATATACCCACATATATGACACAGAGAAACAACAGTCTACTTCGGATGCATACATGTACAACTGCAAGAGAAAAACCAAGAACAGCTCCAAGGAGAAGCACCCACTACAATCAGGCCTCAGTTTCCCCACGGGCAAGCACTCCAGTTTCATTCCCCCACACATTGCTCCAGGATCCTCTGCTGGTTTCCTCACGGTTTTGAGCCCCCAGACCTGGACTTACCATCCTGTGGCTGGCTCGCTGCTGCAACCGAGAGCGTCCCGTGATGCCTCAGGAGGCCGGATGTAGATTTCACGACGGTCCCACACCTGCTGGGCCGAAGAAGGGCTGCTATGTGGAAGAGAGAGGGGTGAAAGGGGTGAGCTCCCAGGAAGCAGGGGAGTCCAATGTGTCTTACGTCAATCATAGGAATGGTGTGGGGGAGGGGGTACCAGTCTCTCAACCCCACAACCGTAGGGATTCTTGAAGCTGCCATTCTGCAGCCCCCATGTCTCCTCTTTGCCTGCTTTAAAATGCTGGATTTCACGCTAGCTGGGCATTCTGGGAATTGGAGTCCAGCATCTTAAAGTGGGCTGGGGGAAAGAGACAGGCAGGCTGAGCAAGTAGAGGTAGCCCTCGACTTACAACAGCTCATTTAGGGACCGTTCAAAACCACCACCTCACTGAAAAGTGTGACTCGTGACCGTTTTTCACGCTTACGACCCTTGTAGCATCCCCACAGTCACGTGATCGGCGGCTTGGCAACTGTCATGTACTTATGACGGTTGCACTCCTGTGGTCCCCTTTTGCGACCTTCTGGCAAGCCAAGTCAATGGGGGGGGGATTCACTTCACAACCGTGGCAAGAAAGGTCGCAAAACGGGGCGAAGCTCACTTAATGCCTCATTCAGCAACAGAAATTTGGGGCTCCATTGGGGTCGTATGTTGAGGACTGCCTGTATGCGCCAGCAAAGCAAGCGCCAGAGACCCGCGACTCGCCCGGCTTGCGGACCCCCGCCCCGCTCGGCGCCGAAGCCCCGTCTCCCCCTCCGGGCCAAAGGCCAGAGCCCCGTCCCAGCGCGACCCCGCCACCATCCCCGCCGAGTGCGGTTCCCCCTCCACCTGTCCGCCAGAGAATCCTGGAGGCCGCCATGTTGGGCTGGGGCGCAGGCGCAGTTCCCTCTCCTTCGCGCGCACGCCAGGATCCGAGGGGGGGGGACGAGGCGGAGTGGCTCCGCCCACCTCATGGCTCCGCCCACGCGGCCATGGCCGACGTCCGCTGGTCTCGCCCAGGCGTCGCTAGGCAATGTCGCGGGTTCGAGTCCCGGACTGCCGAAGTGTCGTACCCCCTCGGTTGGCACTTGGAGGGGGGAGCGAGGCAGGGCTGGGGGCTCCCCATTGCTTTTGTCGAGGTGTGCTTTGGGCAGGCTGCCTCTGGGGGTGGGGGCTGTCGCCCTCTTGCCCCCTCCCCCCTCTCACCCTCACCTGCTGCCAACTTGGAAAAGCGAAATATTTCTTTTTTAAAAAGGCCTCGACTAAGGAATGGGCTGCATCTTTTTTGTTTGTTTGTTTCAGATTGCAAACTTATAGGGGTTCCCCAACACCAAATGGAGAGAGATTCTGCCCAGTTTGGGGTCTTGGGGTTTTCAGGCACGCTTCAGGTTCAAGAAAAGGTGCATTAAAAATCGCCTTTTAAAATGCTAATCGTGAAGCCTAAAATTCCAGGCAACAGGGGAAGCAAAGCCACAGAATGAGATAGAGCAAGGAGAACTAAATCTGACCGATTTAAATGAAATTACTGTATATATAGTGTACTACAGTTCATACAATTATTCCATTCATCGTTGGCCCTGTTGAAAATTACAATTTGCAAGCAACTTTGGGAAATACTGATAAAATAGTTGTAGCTTGGGGTTGAACTGTGGGGCCCTCTGAGCTTAGTTGTTTTCTTGCATGTCTTTCATGACCTTTCATGGGGCGCGGTGGGGGTGGGGGGTTTGGACTAGATCGAAGATCTCCAACCTTGGCCACTTTAAGACTTGTGGACTTCAACTCCCAGAGTTCCTCAGCCAGCTTTGCAACTCTGGGAGTTGAAGTCCACAAGTCTTAAAGTTGCCAAGGTTGGAGACCCCTGGACTAGATGACTGAGAAGGTGACTTCCAACTCTATTAATCTGTTACGACCCAACTAGGGAACATCATCAGTGCTGCGACCCTGATGATGTTACACAGTTTGGTTAATGAAATGTCTGCAAGAAAATAAGCTCAGAGAGCACCAAGAACTTTGGGAAGTCTTGAGGTTGGGGGTAAGACTTCTGGGCTTCAAGTTGTGCAAAGAAAAGGACCCAGTCCTGGAAACTAGGCTGTCCTGGAATTCCTGGGGAAAACAGAAATTTTGCTGAGACACAAGGACAGTTTTCCCCCCATGCCATCGCTCTGCTAAATAACTAATTCCCACAACCATGTCAAACTCTCTAGAAAGGCAGTAGTACCATCATTATTCTCATCTTCTCCTTATCTTCTTACGACTAAAACCTTGTTGCTTGTATCTTACGTTTTATATTGTTTCCTTAGCATCCTAGCATGATTTATGTCGATTGCTTATTTAGTATCCATGACTAAATGTATCTAATGTTTTATGATGAATGTATTTTACAATGACTATGATAATAAACTATCACTATTGCTTATGTACACTGAGAGCTTATGCACCGGAGACAAATTCCTAGTGTATGTGCTTGACCAATAAAAAATTCAATTCTATTATTCTATTCTATTCTATTCTATTCTATTCTATTCTATTCTATTCTATTCTATTATTCTACTCTACTCTACTCTACTCTACTCTACTCTCTATTCTATTCTACTCTATTCTATCTTCTCTTCCAAATTTTCTTCTATTTCTCTTCTATTTTCTCTCTTTCTTCTTTTCTTTCTCTCCTCTTATTCTCTCTTCTCTTCTCTTCTCTTCTCTTCTCTTCTCTTCTCTTCTCTTCTCTTCTCTTCTTTTCTACTATTCTTTTCACTTTTAGGTCTCCTGTGATGGATTCATTCCTGCTCATCAAACAGTGGGTGGGTGGGTGGGTTTCAGCGTCCTTTGTCAAGTCGGAAGAAAGGGGCATTTGATCTGCTGCGCTCCCCATCCCCCCATCAAGTGCAAGCTAATGCATGGAAGTTGCTGTTTCTTTAAAACGCATCAGATGCCCAGAGCAGCTTCCTAGCAACCTGGGCTTGGTTTCCTAGCAACCTGGGCTTCGTTTCCACGCCAAAGCAAGGCGTGGGTCCTGGGTTGGTCCTCCACTGGGCTCTTCCCTCGGACAGAGGGGCTTTGCTCTGAGCGACCCCCGCCCGCCCAGCAGTTCCTATGGCCGAGGAGCCCGATCCTGAAGCTGCCACTGCCGCCTTACGAAGCGCGGAGGAAAGTTGCACAGCCCAGAGAACCAGCGATCAATACCGGGTGAGCCAAGAGTTACCTGCCCGGTTCAACCATCCGGGATGGTTTCGGGGTTACAGGTGAGTGGAGCCCATTGGAGTGCCAGATTAGAGAAGCAGGTGGAACTGGCAAGGTCGGAGAAGGGTTTGAGACCTGTCTTGGTGGCAGAAGGGGCTTCTTGGTCCAGTTCAGCCCAGATGGGCACAAAGCTGCCAACCTGATGGGCCAAAGGGCAGAGTCCTGGCAGTGAGGGGAGGGGGTTGGTTGGGCGTTGGCTGAGTGTGATTTGGAAACCTAGCCCCTGCGGTTAGTAAAAACACCTGTACAGGTTAGCAAGCCCTAGTTGACAGGAGCCCCCCTAGTCTTCCTGCAGTGGATGAGGCCGGGAAAGTTTATTGATTGTATTTATTTATTAATTAAATGTATATCCCACCCCTCTTGCTGTTATGCAGCTCTGGGCAATTTACAATCCAGCCAAACAATATTATGAAATATTTTTGAAAAGTAAATATAACTTTAATCTAAAATCAATCAATCTGGACCTTTTCTGTTTAGGAGGAGGGGTTTAAGGGGCAAGGTGTATAGGAACTGGCTTGCAAAGTGCTTACAGGTTCAGACAAGGCTAACATGGTCTGCCTGTTGAAGGATTAAGTATGTATGAACACAATCCTTGATGGTGAAACTGGTTCCTTTGAGAAAGACTTATTCTGAAGAAGAAAAAAGGAAAGTGGGCAGTGATTTGTTTCTAAAATAAAAAAGAGCAGAATAACAGTGTTGGAAGGGACCTTGTAGGTCATCTAGTCCAATCCTACCTAAGCAGGAGACCCTACTACACCATTTTTGACAGATGACAGGCCAATCTCTTCTTTAAAGCAGAGAAGGGAGGAGAGGAGATGCTGAATGCTTAACCACCTGAAATCATTTAGAAATAGAATCATGGGGCTGGAAGGGACCTCAGAGGTCTTCTAGTCTAACCCCAAGGAAGGAGACCTTATACCATCCCAGACAAATAGTTGACCAATCTCTTCTGAAAAAGAGATTGGGGCACCTACAACTTCTAGAGGCAAGTCGTTCCACGGATTAATTGTTCTCCCTATCAGGAAATTTCTCATTAGTTCTAGATACTCAATGTTACTCCCTTAAAATTAGTAAAGTATTAAGAAAGAATCCTACTGGCTGAGGTGGTTGTTGTCATTTCAGAGTGAAAGAGCGCAACCCATTGTTCAGGACGACCAACATGGACTATGGCGCAAAGGCACCAACAGTGCACGAGATGCCGGTCAGTATTGAGATCTGAATATTATGGGGGCTGGTTGCTGATTGGTTCAGCGAGGAAATAAAACGGCTTTTAATGCATTTGCTTAGCATCAGAGGTGGTATTCAGCAGGTTCTGAGGTAGTGGAAATTTTGAGTAGTCCAGAGAACTGGAAAATCCCACCTCTGACTGGCCCTGCCACCATCTATTCTCTGCCTCCTGAATCCCAGCTGATCTGGGATACCAGCTGGGTCTTCTTTGGTTGCCCTGCACAGGTGAACGGAGCTGGAAAGCAGGATAGTGGGGTGGGGAGGGAAGGGGGATTTTACACTGTCCTTCTCCTGCTACACCCACCAAGCCACACCACACCTACCAAGCCACGCCCCCAAACTGGTAGTAAAAAAATTTGATTCCCACCACTGCTTAGCATTGGCATGGGATGTGAATGCAAGCAGGTTCCTACAGTTGCAGGTACACCTCAAATTCCCTAGTCTTCTTTCAGCTTAATTTAATGTTCTTTGGCCACAGTTCCCCACCCCCTGGTGTAGAAGAATATAGCTTCAGTACTGAGGAGGAACTTGGTGGCCCTTGAATTAATTCTGACACAATGTTGGCTAGGCTGAGTGGACTACCATCCCTTGTTCAGTCTTGACATCTGTTTCTAAGCATCTGCAAGGGGGGTCGGTCCTCTTTCTCAGAGGTCTCCATTTCATCTCCAGTAAAACACACTGGGCTGAGGGGCAGTAGCCAGCCAAAGTCCTCCAGGGGTGTTGTGGTCTGTCGGCCGCTGGCCCCTTCAGCAGCTGAATCAGAAGAGGAGGTGTGGGACTCATGGTCAGCATTAGGGCAACCTGAGAGCTCCAAGGGGAAAGAGGGAATGGAGCTGGCAGAGACAGAGACAAAGGCAGAACCTGAGCTGTCTGTCAGCCCTCAGATAGAGAGTCAACAGTCCCCAGGTCTGGAGGTGGCTGATGAGGAAGAGGAGGAACAGTTGGGTCCAGTGCCTGACATGCAGATGCGCAGAAGGCAGAGGAGAGGAGAGCAGTGGAAATCTATGGGCTGGTCCTTGGGATGGAAGAACCACCGCTGCTAGCAAAGCCGCTTCCCAGCTCTGGGTATAAAAGGCAGGGCAAAGATGAATAGGTGTGGCCGACGACTATTCATCTTCTGGCTGGACAAACTTGTTAGCCTGCGAGAGAAACTTTGTGCTGGGGCTGCCGATACTCCTAATAAAGGATTTTTTTCAGTTTACCTCAGAGGGTTTGTCGTGTTTGGGGAGGTGGGTCAGAACAAGGGGGGTCCTGTGGTTGGAGATTTACATCTTGATCTCCCAATCTAGCTAACCTCCCACTTACCCCATCCGGATTCTTTCAAGTTAGGCTCAACCCTTCCAAACTGGGGACTAATCAGCCTATGAACACAAGGTCTTAATACCTGGCTGGCTGCTCCAGCTGACCCTTTGGGAATTCTGGCATCTACCATGAGGCCGACATGATTGTTATAATGCTCCAGATGATTTTGAATGGCCTATTTTCTGAGGAGTAAAAGTTTCCCTCATGTTTTTGACTCCTCGCAGACCAGTTTCCATGTCAGTCCACATGCCTTCTCTGACCGTCTCATCACGTTCGGCATGTACAGGAACTATGGCATCAACACTGCCATGGAAAAAAGCTACGTGACTGGTCCTGACAACTTCATCACTTTCCTGGATACCCTCAACTTCCACCCGAGTTATCGAACTAAAGGACCCTCCCTTTCGGAGTAAGGGGCACCGGAAGGCTTCCAAGCTCTCCTTTAGCTTTTTACCGTTCCAACAGCCACATCAAAAAATGATTCCTCAAAATGTTTGTAATGCACCCCCCCTTGGAAATGTTTTATTTTTACAAAGGTGACTTGCACCAGAGACTGCAGAACACTCTGAAGGGATCCTAGCTTGCATCTTGCAAAAACAGTCTTAGCCTCTTTCTTAAATACGATGAACATGTTAAGAGCATTGCGTGCCATAAAAAAATATTTTGGAATGGCCATGTCTGTGTGCCTGGTTTCAAAATTAGGGCAAGATCTACTTTGCCAAAGATACCACATCTGTCCCACAGCAGCCACAGCAACTGATAGAAAAAAAATATCTTTGGAGCTCGCGGTTGAACCGTGGGGTCCTTGATGCCCTCTGAACTTGGTGGTTTTCTTGCAGGCATTTCATTGTCCGTCTAGCACTGATGATGTTACCTAGTTTGGTAATGAGATGCCTTTAAGAAAACCACCAGGCTCGGAGAGCACCAAGGATGCCGTAGGAACAGTTCTGAAAATTTCCCCGGGGGCTCTGCCAATCATTGAGATGAATCAACCAGAGCTCTAACTATGCTCAAGGCAGTTTCCTAATTTTGTGGCGGCTGCTTTTGCCGGGTTGAGGAATGATGCTCCGGGGCCTACAATCCAAAGAGAAGTGAGTTGGGGGCAAATCTGGATCTGATAATTCAGTACATTGACTATGGGATGTGCAGTGCTTCACATATGAAGCCGAATAGGTATGCTGGGACTTGTTAGGCGGCCACATGGCCCCTGCTTGCAATTTGTTAAACCCCCCAGGAAAAGATGCAGCTGCTCTAATGGTGGGCGGGAGCTATCTGGGGAGCTTTTGGTGGCTCTGGAATGGAGGGGGTGTGGGGACACTCCCAACACTTAGGAACACCTTGTGGCAACCTGTTAGTACCCCAGGACTCAGGTGCGTGTTTTTCTGGAGCCAGGAGGTTAGCACCTGAGGAGCACCCACCACTTCTGAAGGCCAGCTGTTCCACTGGTTAACTGTCCTGTTAAGATATTTCTCCTTAATTCCAGGTTGCTTCTTCTCTCCTTGATTCGCTTCCATCGTTTCTTGTCTTGCCTTCTGGTGCTTTGGACATCTAAGCTGACCTCCCGCTTCATTGTGGAAGCCCCTCAAATACTGGAATACTTCAATCATGTCACCCTTAGTTCTTCTAGGGGTGACAGCTTGTCTCCTGGGGTTCTGGATGCTCCATCGCTGGAGGTTTTCCAAGATGAGATTGGACAACCATTTGATCAGAATAGTAGAGAGGGATGGTTAAGACTAGAGCAGGTCTCTTCCAGCTCTCGGTCTCTATGTTCTATGAAAAGGCATATTTGAAAAGGAGTTAAACTCCACACTGGTCAAGCTGAACAAGACAGGGTGGTGCAGATCTGCACTAAGAGCTCTTAATCACAGCATTTTCATTCGCGCAATGGCTTTAATATCCATTTATCTGCCTAATGTCAAACCTGGAGCAGTGTCACCAACCTTGCCTAAGCATCGGTTTCTCTTAAGTGAAAAATAAGGGTAGAAATAACCATGCATATATGTGTGACCCTTTAACCACCAAAATTAAGAGAAGTGTCAGCGTTCCATGTCAAGGCTATGGAAGCAAGTGGCAAAGAAGCCCCAATAGCTGGTGTATTCCACAAATGGTTGTTACGCAAGCTACAGCATAGTGCAGCAGCTTTGATAAAAGGTTGTTACAGGGAATGCCAGTGAAAGAGCTGTAGATTCAAGAACACGGCAAAAATGTCCTATCTCCACTTTTTTGTGACTCAGCTGTTGTGGCCTTGCCAACCCTGAATTGAGGCAATGTAGATTTGTTAAACGAATGACAGTTAGCAAAACTGTAAGACTGAACTCTTTCGACAGGGTGCTAGTTTAATGCCAAGATACATTCTTACAGAATCAATCTTCAATTCCCATAAAAATTACTATTTTCCTCTCTGTGTTTGGACCAAAGAGAATTTCACCCATGTCTTTCCAAGTGAGTCCTTATGCGAAAACCATGTTTTGGGAAGATTCTTTCCTTCTTTGGAATCCTGTCCAGATTCCCTAAAGGAGAGAAGAGCCTATGAGGATTGCAGGGAGGGCTAATGTGCCAAGTGCACCAGAACACGCAAAACAAAAATGTACATAGAACTCTAAAGTGGAAAGGACCCAACCAGCAACTTAGCACAGAATTCAAATTCAGTGGTTATCCAGCCACAGCCTGGAAAAATAGAATTCCTGAATCTTCTTTGGAACGTAGACCGTCGAAAAATAAGCCTGGGATCCCTCTTCAAAATATATGACAGAAAAGTAAAAACAGGGTTTGGATCAAGGTCCATGATCTGAACTCAATTTATTAAATCTTATAAATGTATGAATGTACACCATTTCTTATATACAAAACAAGGTTTCTTAATTTAAAAAGTGCATGTTCAATCAAAGGGCATTGAAACTACAAGCTACAAAGTATTGAAATCCAACAGGAAGTGAACACAGAAGGCTCCAACAAAGACCCCCCCCCCCCAATCCCCAAGAATGACAGTGAAAGGAATGTTCAGTAGGGTTTACCCGAAGAAGAAACAGATTAACTGGACAGAACACAGGACTTCAATCCTATAAAAGCAGCATGGACAGGAAAAACAGTGCGACTAGAAAAAAAATCGGGTTAAATTTCAGTTTGGAATTAAGGCTGCTCTTTTAGCTCCAGTTACCCTTCAGTGATCAAGCTAAGAAATAACCTGAAAGGTGTTTTTTTTTTAAAGAGAATCTGAAAGAAAAAGGGGCTTCCAGTCTTGGCATTATCCCCTTCCTTTGGCATTATCAAGGATGCTGGTTATTTTGAACTGAAGGAAGTTTCCAGAACAGAAAAGGGGCTTCTATGTGATTCTTTTAAAAAAATCTGTATGACTTTCAGTTATAAAAACACATTGTTTTTTTAAAAAAACTTGTTTTTACAAGTGGCCCATTGGTATTAACTGTTCTGCCTCTTTTGTAACATTTCCTCCACTGCTGATAACTGCTTTAAGAGGGTAAGAGAGGACTTCAATTCTAGCATTCCTTTTCTATCCCACCCGAGGGTCTTTTGTTCAACTGGCTCCCCTAATATTCTTGTCTCTCCAAATCTTGCAAGCTGGGGCCAGGAAGGCTGGAGGGAAGAGACCTGGAAGGCTTACTACAAAATGGCCTGAAAACACAGGGACTGTATTCATCGGCTATGAAAATCCACAATAACCAGTTAAGCATGCTGTATAAATTGTCATATAAAGATTTCCTTCCAGCATTGCCCTTTTTGTATTTTTTTTTAAAAAAAGCATCCTTATCAAAAGGCAAAATAAAAGCTGGATAGGTAGACTGTAATTGGAGATGTATTTTTTTTAAGTGTGGGCATCATGGATAGTACCTCTATAGTCACTGCCTCTCCTTTCAGTTTCAGGTTCTCTAAAATATCACTTTGGTTGCTTTGCCATCCTGACCGTGTTCTCTAACACAGATGAATCCTCTGTGACAAGAGGCATTTATTTTCATAGGCATACATTGCTCACCACAAAGGGACGATCTGAGCTCTTAATGCGGTAGGAACCTGGACCACTCTTTGTATATTTTATCTTCCAACACGGATATTAAGTTTTGGGCGAGAAGCGTTAAGCTAGAACGTAGTTTTCAATTTAGTTGCCTTTTAGAATGCCAACCCTGTAAAACAAAGAAGTTAAGAACTGGAATCCTTTGTTTTCAGGAGACAGTGGGTACATTCCTCCATTGGCCCAACTCTGCAGAACCTCCTTCTGGAAGCTCCTGGGCTTGCTCCTCTGCTGTCCTACCTTGGCTGACCCCCTTTCCTTTCAGGGATAAATCACAAGGGCCTTCGGGAACTCCACACTCTGCCCAACTGGGGCTGTACTCCAGGGGTTTCCCTCTCCTAACAGGGACTTCAACACTTGTTACGCCTGGGCTAATCGTGGTCTCTTCTACGCCAGGCCTTTGCAAAGGAAGGCTTTGGCTGGCATCTCTTTCGTTGCCTTCCACACGATTGTGTTTGACCAGGTTCACCACTCCAGTGGTTAGGGTGGTCTCTTGGGTGTTGCCATCCCTTTCCTGCCTGCAGAAATGCAAACTTCCTGCCTGGAACCTGGGACCCTGGTCTGCTTCTCTTACCCCTGCCTCAGTGCTGGAGCTCACAATCTCTTTGGGCAGAGACCCCTCCCCAAACAAATGATCTGCCAAGGTCCCTCCATACTTGTGGAGCAAAGGAAGGCTGATGTCCTGTGGTCTTTTGCCTAAAAGCTCAGATTTCTTCTTATTCTCACCACCTTTGAGACCTGGTAGAAATTGGCTGGACATTTTGAACTCCGGCGAGCACCACCTTTTGAAAGAGGGCGCAGCCTTAAAATAATTTTGCCATTTGCAACGCTCCTCAGCTTTGCCCTTCCCGGATGAGAGGGTCCTTTGATCTAGCCTGTCCTGCCAAATGTCCTTTCTTTGGACTGCAGCTCTTCTTAGAGGCAGTTCCATCTCCTTTGGGTCCGCACCTGGTGGCTTTTCCACTGGAGCCTGGCTGCCTGTGTCTCCCATGAATGATCTGGCTTGTTCACTGGGGTGAGATGCGTTTCCTTCGCTCTCTCCTGCGCATCTCCGGCGGCTGCTCCCCTCATAGCCTGGTGGGGCCAACCTGCCCACCTCTTTCTCTGAGGCAGGGCTTCCTTGCCCGAGTAGTTGCCACTCTGCTTTCAACTTATCAGCTCCCAGAGTCCCAGCAACTCCAGTGGCATCTGGTAACCCCCCTGTCCCGGTAGAGGCTTTCGCCTTTTCAGCCAAGAACCTTTGGATTTCTTCTTCAATGCTATCATCACTGTCTATGGAACTGCTATCATCCATCAAGGATGTCACAGCCCACAGACATGGGCCGGCCTTGGTGGCCTGTTGGATTTCCGTTCCAGAAACTGGTTTGGTCTGATATTCCTTTTTACATTCAGGTTCAAACTCTGTGGTGCTTTTTGGTTTTCTCAGAGGCCCCTTCTTTACATTCCCCTCTCTAATGTCTCTCCTGGAACCTACAAGACACTTTTTTAACAAGGCGGGAGCTTGGGACTGGCTGTCTCTCTCGTTCTTACAAAAAATACGCATTTCAGCATCATCAAACGGGTCTTTCTTTTTGCAGTGAGTTCTTTGGTCTTTGGATTTTTTCTTTAGTTTCCGTTTGGAGCTTAGGAGATCTTTGATCGCTGTATCCAAATCCTCATCGCTATCAAATGAGCTGCTTTTATCATCTGCCCCGTGTTTCTGCAGATCCCGTGTTATACTTTCTAACAGACTTCCAGAATCATGAGGTGTGTGAGAGCATGGGACACTGATGGAATCAACAGAGGCTCGAGCACCTTTTGGATATGGAACCATTTTTCCAGTTCTTTCATTTTTCAGTTGGGTCACAGAGGATATTGGAAGATTCTTATCTAAATAGTCCACCTCTGAGATCAATTGTGCCTCTTCATTCTGTGGGACTATTTCACGTTTCCTCTTAAGTGTCTTTTTGGGAGTCAGTGGCAGTTTTAGGCATTTGGGGAATGTTCTCTTGGGACTCTGAGTCCGCGCCCTGGACTGCCCCAATGACAGAGGCACTTGGAAAGTGGATTTTGCTATCAAATGCTTGGTCCTCGCTTTGACAGCCAAGAAAGCTCTTATCTCCCGCTCAATGCTATCGTCGCTGTCCACAATATTGTTGTCGCTTTCATACTGGGAAGGGAGCACATTCTGTGAAGAAAAGGAAGGGCTCGTTGAGAATAGTTTATGATCACTTACTGTTGGGAGAGGCAAAATAGTTTTGGAGATATCAAGTATGGCTTCTGCACACATCAATTCGGCAGCCGTGTCTGCTCGACACGAGGCCTGAAAGGTGACTGCGCATTTGGCAAAACTGTTTTCTGGAGGAGAATACCTTCTGCGTTTCCCTGGGTGATTACAAGGCCTGCCGGGCCTGTTTGCCACCGCTGCCTTTGTGCTGGCATCCTTCCTCTTGCAGCGCTGAGCTTTCGGAGGGATTTCTGGCAAGGCACTTGGAGGCATATTCTCTGTCTTGCTGGGGCTGAACCCTTCCTTCTGCAAAGAAACGCAGCCTGCCCTGGACTCTGCAGCTTTCCTCATCTTCTCAAGCTGATAACGCTGAATAGCTTCTTCGATCCCGTCGTCACTGCTCGAATCAGATAAATCTGTACATTTGACTCTTTCCTCTCTCCCAGCGTTGCAAAGTATCGGCCTTTTCCTATTTTTTGGGTTTTCTTCCAGAAAGGAGGAATCACGAACTGTTGGAGTTGAAAAGCCTGTTTGCCTTTCTGTTTTGCATACTGCGGGCTCTTCACTGGTTTTCGACTTCAGGCATGTAGCCGTGCTGATGCTTTGTAGTCCGGGATGCCGTTTCGAGAAGTACGCCTTACCCTTTTGCCTTAAAGTACCTTGATTCCCTCTGTTGATGCTGCCTTTCTGACTGAGGGCTAACTTCTCTTCAAGCTCTTCTTTCTGGTGAAATGGCTTATTCCTCCTCGTGATCTTCTTGCTTGCTTGCTGTTTCTTTTTCTTTAAGAATTGTTCAATCTCGGCCTTTATGCTCTGTTCGAAAGAGTCGTCACTGCTCACGCTACAAGGGGAGGAAGCCCACTGGACAACATTATCTTCGACATGACCAGGAATGACATAGTTGACTGGACCATAACCAGCAGGAAATAAATGACAAGTGGCATCGTGTGAAGGAAATTTCTGTTGGACTGGATGACCTGCATCCTTAATAGGCAAACTCTTGGTGCTATTTGGTAGTGGGGGAAGGTTCTGGCCCTTGTTTCGCAGATACTCTTGAATGGCTTCCTCTATATCTCTATCAACAGAATCATCACTATCAGAATTCAAGGCGAGAGGTCCAAATTCTGTGTTCTCTTCCATGTCCATTCCATCAGAGTCTGTGGGATAGCTATGAAGGGTATAGTTAATATGTTCCTGTAGCAGCTGGTCATTCCTCCTAAATTTGTGTCGTCTATCCTTTGCTGCCTTCTGTTTCTTCTGTACGATGCAGCCATATTTGCTGCTGGCACCCAGGGCAACTTCTTCACTTTGAAGATTGCTTATGATCATCTGGACTTTGGCATTGACAGCTGTTCTAGCCAGATCTTCTTCAGATTCTGAGAAACAGGCCGGATACCTGCAATTCCTTGACTGAGGAAAGGGCTCCCATTTTCTCGGAAGGGCCACCAAAGGAGAAGTATTCATGAGAAACATCCTCTCAGGTAACGTGAAGGCTGGAAAATGTATTGTGTGTCAGGCAAACCATTCCTCCATTCTAGTAAAAATATAAAAAAAATGTGGATAAAGCAGCTATAGAAGCACAAATATTTCCTGAGTATTTTCAGGATAAGAGTATTTGCTTTAGATTTTCTCTTAACATGAACTTTGCATTATTTTATCTGAAGTAGCAAGACTAAATTAAAACAATCATTTATGGGAGTTTCTTTTATCAATTAGATAATTTTAATTTTCTTCTGCTTCTCTGGGTTTATTCTGGAGCAAGAGTTATATTAAAATAACAACATGTAAATAACAGTAATTAAGTAGCACCATAAAGAATTGCACTAAGTTTTTCCTATCAAATGTGAAATCTGTAGTCCGTGCTTCTTTTAATTACTACATTTCCAATTAATACCTGTTTATCGAGAAATTTTATAACCTTGTAGCATAGTAATTATACCTTATTAATCTTTCACAACCACAGCCACACACAAATAAAAAGAGGAAAGGAAATCTTTGATTTTGCTCCTAGGAGGCAACTACAATCTGTTGAACTGATCAAAAACTGCCTCAGCATTTATCCAGTTTATATTATGGGCAAATAGGCTAACTCAGAGAAAATGTCAAACAGTAAAATCCCTGGGGACTAAACAAAAATAAAAAGGAAACATAAAAATGATGGGACTGATAAAAGAGGAGTTGAAAGAGATATCAAAACTCTATAGAAATCAGTACAAACATATAGATGATGGCAATGAAATTAGGAATTAACCCAGTGCCTGGGGAGCTTTCCCTGAACGTTTAGTTCTTAAAGTGAATAGACAAGAGGTGTATAAAACTGTGCCAAAGAGAACATGGATAGAAATTTTCCTGTATTTATTTTAGAAAATTTATATTGTCCCCTATTCGCACAGGGCGACTCAAGGCGGCTTACATAAATATACGTAAGCCAGGGTTTATCCAGTGAACCTAAATGGTTACTGGAAAAATATTGTGTCTCAACAGACACAATCCAGAAAGCTACTCCTATGCTTGCAATTAAAACTTTTGGGGGGACTGGTGTTGCAGATTGTCCTAAACGAGAATTTGTTTTAATCACAGTTTGTGATCCAACTGGCTGTGTCACCGATAGCAGCCCAGATGTTACGGGAGTACAACAGCCAACACATTGCTACGAAACCCTGGGATCTGATCAGAGGTGTCATTCCTGTTCAATTCACAACAGTCTCCCTGCATTCGACCTTGGCATGATGCATTTATTTCTTTCCTAGGCTGGCACATGGGTTCAACCTTCAGCAAATACTACTAAGGGATCCTCACTCTTTGCCGCCAAGACCAAAGTTATTTCTAATGGGAAATAAAACTGACTAATGCTGTCAGGCTGGGTCTTTGGGCATTGGGAAGCCCCTATGCAAAAATTCTGGGCTTCCTGGCCGCCATGCTGTGCCCACTCACAAAATGGTTGCCTGGCTGGTGGCAAAAGTCGACTCTGCCTCCCCACAGCCCCCAGCACAAAGACACTCTTGCAAAGCACTTAAGACTAGAGATGGGTGTGTTGTGGTTACATTTTTATATGTATGTTTGTATGCATGCATGCATGTATGTATGTATGTATATGTGTGTGTATATATATATATATTAAACATATAGATAGATAGATAGATAGATAGATAGATAGATAGATAGATAGATAGATAGATAGATACCAGAGAGAGAGATACCGATAGGTAGGTAGGTACATAGGAAGGTAAGTAGGAAGGTGGTTAGATGGATATAGATATGTATATGTATGTGTGTGTATAGATATCAATATGGATGTAGCTATAGATATGGATAGATACACATACATATGTACATGTATGCATGCCAAGGTGGAAACCTACCTTCCTTGCCCCTTTATTTCAACTAAAATCACCTTGTAGCACAGGTAAGCGAGAGCCGCTCCCCCCACCCCAATCTGCGAACGAGACCCAGCTCCGCAAAGGGCCCTCTGAGCTTCCCCCCACTTCGAAAATTTCCGAGCCCCCTCCCCCGGGCCACCTCAACCGCCTGCCCGGCCCCCCCTGCAGCACACTGAGGCCAGGAGGCGCCACACTGGCTCGGCCCCGAAGCCGGCCCCTCTTCCGACACAGCCGGCGGGGCCCTTTCCCCCCGTCCCCCCACCGAGGGCGCCACCTTGGGGACCCGGCCCGACGTCGCCATGGCGACCGCGGTTTCTCGGCCGGGCCTCCTGCTCACCTGCCGGGCCGCGATGGCGCCTCACGGGATCCGCCGCCACCGCCGCGAGGACAGGCGCCGCCCGCGGGGAGGGAGGCAGGGCAGGCAGCGGGCGGGGGCGGGACCCGGCGGCCATCGGCCGGGCCTAGTCTCCCGGCTGGCCTTGCGGACCCCCCCCTCTCCCCGTCTCTATCCTTCCTTCCCCTTCGTTTCTCTTCTCGTCCTCCGTCATTCCTTCCTTCCCCTCCCCTCCTGGGGTTTCTCCTACTCGCCTTCCTTCTTTTCCCAATCTGCATGGCGCCCTTGCTTTCCGAGGGGTCTTGTTTTGTTTCCTTCCAACTAGGTAACACCATCAGTGCTGGAAGGGAGTTTGTTTTTTCATATGGAAGTGGCTCGCCTTCCTCAGATATAAAATGAGAGCAAGCCCCGCTGCCTTCTAGCACTGATGACGTTACCTAGTTGGGTCATGAAACGTCTGCAAGGAAAACCACCCAGCACCAAGAACCCCACAGTTCAAATAGTTGAGCCCGTGCCGATCCTATTTATCTCCCCTCCCCTCTAGCACTGATGTTACCTAGTTGGGTCATGAAATGTCTGTATAGGAAACAACCAAGCTCAGACAGCACCAAGGCCCGGTCACTTCAACCCTGAGCTATAAATATTCTTCTGTTTTGTTTCTGACTTATTGGAGTCAAGGCTGATGTGGACTTGAGAATTGATAGCATGATGAACCTTGAATTGTCCATTTAGTAAATCATAGTTAACAAACCAAGACTAGAAGTAGATAAATTGTGTCCTGGCACTTGTCACTTTCCTGTACATTGCTTTTCTTCCTGAACTCTCGGTTCTTCTTTGGAAGATCAGGACTGGGGCTTTGCCATCCCCAGGGTGGCTAGGGGCAGGAATTGGGAAGGTTATATCCCAAAGGTGGAAACTTTTTTGAGTCCTGCGCCCATCTTCCACTTCCTGCCTGTGTCCCTTTTCAGTTTAATTTGAAAAATAAACATGACAAACGCTTGCAGGGCCTGGTCTACCCTAATGAAGAGAAGTACTATGGGTGACATAACAGCAGGTTTCTAATATTTGAGGGGTTGTGCAAAAAAGAGGGGATTAATCTATTCTCCAAGGCATCTGAGGTCAGAACAAGAAGTAACAGGTGGAAGATTATTAAAGATAGATCCAACCTAGAACTAAGAAGAAATTTCCTGACAGTGAGAACAATCAATCAGTGGAATGGCTCGCTTTCAGAGGTTGTGGATGCTCCAGCTCTGGAGGTAATGAGTGGTAATGTTACCATTAAAATTTAGTTAAGTTAATTATTAATTAAATCCATACTGCAGTTAACTCCTTGCCTTTTTTCTTTTCTTTTTTTCTCCTTCCAATGATCTAAATGTGTCAGAAAGTTCAACCCAATCTCGATTTTTGGCGATTGCCTGGACAAGTCCCTGCAATTTTTTTGGAAATCTTTCTTGTAAATAGTTTGCCATTGCCTCTTTCCTAGGGCTTTGAGGACGTGACTGGCCCAAGGTCAACCAGCGGGCTTCCACTCTTGGGGGAGGGGATAGGAATTCATCATCTGCCAGTTTCTAGCACTACTACCAAACTGTCAGCCTCAGTGGTATACAACCAGCATCTTATTTCCGGGAAGCATCCAAGTCCCTTGCATGCCCTTGGATCCGAGGGTTTCCATTCCCTGGATCTCCCCTTACACTTCCATAAACTTCTGTTCCTTTCTAGAGTAAGCCAGTTCTCAAGGATTGCCACCCTGAGGTCAGTGACATGTCCAGTAGAAATATCAGCTACTTATATTTCTCCTCACCTACCAGTTCCTAATAAGCCAACTGTGAAAGAACCTAAAAATGAAGAGAAAACTAGCTGCATTTGTGCAGCATTCACACAATTAAGCTGCTTAGAGGTATCCATGATTTGTATGTGTGGCCAAACAATGCCATCCTAGCCCATTGGCTGAATTTATGGCTCAATGTACAATTAAGATTTGAAAAAATAGGAGCAATGGGTGAAATATGTTGCGTGAAACCATCCAGTCTCTGTATTGAAAAATGATACTCTCATTCAAAAAAGATTTTACCTCCATCAAGCCAAGTCTGTGCTCACTGTGAGTTGTGATAAGTACAAGAAACGGGAAGCACCATTTATTTATGGATATTTTCAAAACCCAAAGCCATTGGAGGAATTTCCCTCATCCAGGACAGGAATGAGCCAAGTTGCTTGGAAAAAAAAGTAGCAAGACCATTTTGAAGCTTCTCTAGATGAATTTGGGGATTTCATTGCTTTTGGCTGTGGATCAAAAACCAGCAGATCAGTGTGGTTATATATGACAGTTGAGCAAGGTGCATAGGAATTTTTGTGCTTAGGTAGCTACTGGGATCACTTTTTAATTATTCTTCCTGTTGGAAGAATTATTCTTCTGGGTTCAGTTCCAAGTGGGGAAGACAGACACTGGAAACACAGAGGCTGTTTGGAAAGATGGGTTTAATGGTGGACAGGACCACCTGGCTTGGAGCTCCAAAGTGAAAAGTCTGATCACATGCTTCTAGATGTTGGGTGAAGGAAAAGGAAAAAAGATGCTGAGAGTCCCATTGGGATTTGAATTTGAGCTAGTATTCTGATTGGTTGTCAGACTCCCATGGGGCCATGCAGTGGCAACTTTGTAGGCTGTCCTGAGTCCCAGGCTTGGTTGAGCCTTGCTGGATGGTGATGATGATTGCCCAAAGGGCTTTGGGCAATTCCTATTATAGCTCTACCTGGAGTAGATTTTTCTTATGTAAAATAGACTGGCCCAGGCCAGAGTAATGGCTCATTAGCAAAGGTGGGGGGCTGAGTTCTGCCTCTGAGTTTCTAAATTTTTTTATGGGGAAAAATTCTGTCTTTTTAGCACATCCTCAAATATTTCATTTTCCTAGGAGAGGAGTGGATGACAACTTCCAAGAAAAAAGTGACAAAAAGATGGGAGACATTGAAAGGAACATCTTGCCAGGAAAAAAAAAAAAAGATCAAAGGGACATTTTGGAAAACGGGCATCTCTTTTGCCTGGCTGCCCCCCCTTCCAAGGGAAAGACCCCATGGGGAAGTGAAAAGCTGCAGCTCCAGAAGAGCCCCTTAACCGCACCAGCTCCATGCCTCCCCTCCGCGCCAGACCCAGACATCCCTCGACACTGCGCAGGCGCCATCTGGCTGACTGAGGAAGGGCGACGCCGAATGGTCGTTCGGGGGACGGCGGCGATTGGCAGGGAGACTTCTTGGGGCGGTCCCTAAAGAGGAACAGGAGGAGTTTCTAGGAAAGGGCGCGCAACGAGATCCTGCCTTCACTTCCGGAATCACGCGCTTGAGACGATTAATGGATTCTGTTGCCGACGGGCTCGGAGACGTCCTCCCGCAGAAGGGAGTCGGAGGCCTGGCCTGGCGCTGTGAAGTGGAGGCTGTATCCGCCTCGGGCCTTCCCGGAAGGACCGTGAGAGGCGGAGATTTTGGCCTAGGACTCCCCTGCCGGGAAGGGGACACAGCCGTGAACCGCCTCTCTTTCTCCCCCTCAGGAGGACGGAGGAGCCCGGCGGGGGAAGGAAACTCCGCCCGAGAGGAGGAGATTGAGGAGGAGACCGGGCCCCGCGGAGCAGCCATGGCCGGTCCCGAAGCGGCTCCCACGGTAGACGGCGGGGAAAGGCCGGGAGGCTCCGGGGCTGCAGGAGGGATGAGTCCAGGTGGACCCCGGAAAAGGGGGCGGCCCAGAGGTCGATGCCGGGAGAAGGAAACGGGCGGAGACCCCGAGACGTGCCTGGAGGCCGGAGGGTCCCTCGGAAGATCCCGGAAGCCCCGAAGGATC